ATGTGCGTTAGAATTCTGACCGGAAACTTTTCAGTTCGAATTTCGTCATCCTTCTCGGCATCCTGTTCATTATCCATTTTGCATTTTCAGTGAACGACCGGTGACAGCAAGTTTTTCACTCCCCTTCATGCAAAATTTGCGGTAATCATGCATGCTGGAGGTTAACATTTCACGTGGCCTCATTATGCAGTGTTACTGTCCTAGATTTGACTGTTCCAAGGCTAGCGTAAAAAAGCTTGTTTGCACCTGAAACCCTCATCCCCGTTACTACCCGCAAACTATCAACCACTTCCACCAATTTCATTTTCATGACAACTATTGAGGTCGTCTCAATCTTCCCCAGTGCTAGCGGAATACACCTACATTTTAGCCGCAGTAGTGTCAGGCTCTTCATATCTGAACTTTATTTCCGGCTGAAATCTAGTGCCTATGTTACTGTGTACATGAGACAACGCTTTGGGAGGCACCTGACTGACCCTCTTTCTGTGGGGTACCAACTCATCGTCAATTGATGTTGGCCGGCTGTTTTCCTCCCTAGTGGTAACGCCATTCATTTTAGGGGATGTTTGATTGTTAATGTGCCACAAACAGAAACACAAAGCATCCCTGGCTCTCTAACTGCGTAACAACCAAAATTTGTTATTGATCTTGCTCTGTATTCGCATGTGGCTTCTTCCAGTATGGTGTTTTGGCAACACTTGTTGTAAGCTCTAGTATGACACTGAGGAAGTTGCAGGCACTCTAATTATATGCTAACAAGTAAACTGATTTAGAGGTTGTGGCACAAATTCGTCTGGATGGGGTAGGTATAATTCTTAACTTCTGAATTAACTACATCTCTCTGCAGTTTATTTACTGGCGTAGGCTTTATATCAACATTGCTTTCTAGAAATTATTGTATAGAGTCACTTAATGCGTTGAATTCTTGCGGCGTCTCATCCATTGCGCTAATACTAGCTGCAGTAAAATCTACATAATGCGCAGACAGCGTGCGTTTTAACTGCTCGCCACTAGTTGTCAAAAGCCGTTTAAGTTCATCTGCAAATTATTGCCTTGGTCAAGCTTGAAACAACGTAAACAAAATTATGTTATTTTTCAGTCAGCAAATTTGAACTGTGTCGTTAAAGCATGCGAATCTTAACAGATCGTTTTCGCTGGCTGAAGCCCTTTGTTTATTTTCATCGAAACTATTTCTTTTGAATTATTCTGTAATGTTTCATCAAGGCTATTCCTTTTGAACATCAGAACTATCCGTGAGGACTATTTCTTTTGAAATGTTTGTCGTGAATAGGATTTGGAGCACAACTTAAAGCTCTTGAACTGCTTTTAACAATATTTTAGGCGGTGTCTTATCGGAGCATGACAACGGTATGCGCAATGTGGATATGTTTCCAACTGTATGTTGTCACTCT